CCTTGCAGATACTCGGATATGATACCAAGATTTGGCAGACCAGCCCCCGTGTTGAGTATGGTGACCAACAAGGTAGTTGATTTTATCTATGACACCTATGTATGGAGAATCAAGCAATGGAATCAGGACCTTCTCAGTCCAGCACGTCTACAAATTTATGCAGATGCTTTGTACGCAAAAGGTGCAGCCCTTGACAATTGTTTTGTATTTGTGGACGGTATAGTTTGGCCAATCGCACGACCAGATGAAAATCAGAGTCGTCTAAAATAGAGATAAAAGCGTGCATGCCCTCAAATTTCAGTCTGTGGCGCTATCTAATGGTATCATAGCAAATATGTATAGACTTGTAGGTGGGTAGTATATTTTAACCAATAATAACGAATACCTTAAGAGTCTTGTTAAAACTCAAAGCTTTTCACTGTTGTGAATTTCAGAAGGCAAGAAGCATGATGCGAGCATGTTGGGTGATTCTGGACTGCTTCAGGAGCTACAGCGGTATGTACGTTCTCCAGCAGCTCATCCTATCTGCATATATGGGGACCCTGCATACCCCCTAAGGGTACAACTTCAAGCCACTTTGAGAAATGTAGTTCTCACCCCACAGATACGGGCATTTAATTCTTCAATGAGCTCAGTAAGGAGTTGTGTGGTGTGGCTCTTTGGTGATATAGTTATTACTTCAAATTTAATGATTTTAAGAAAAACCTGAAGATTGGGCTAGGTGACATTGGGAAACTTTACATAGTATGTGCTGTGTTAAAAAAATGCTCTTACCTGTTTATATGGTAATTTCACCACAGAGTTTTTTGTTCTACAACCACCCACACTACAGGAGTATTTTGCATAAAAATGCACTAGGTTATGATGGCAATGTTCACAAAGTAGTTTTGCGAGTTAATTATACAGAAACTACCTCAATGAAAGAACAATTAATGGCCTTTATTGCTGTTACCATACATGTAAATAACAAAGAACACAAAATGGATTTCAATTTCAGAATGCTATCAGGCCTTTTAAATTTAACAAGTTCTCGTAACTTCAAGACGTGACATGATCACATGGATATATATAAGTGTAGAACTAACTCAACTTAGTAGAAACAAGTAATCTGAAGTAAACATTAAAGTATATCTCTGGAATGCTTCCTCGTCAACATTAAACGTCTTTTTCTTCTGCAATTTTTTGCATGAGGCCAATCATCAGACTCATAAGTTGATTGCTCTGTTGTTGCTGCTGTTGTTGATTAGCAAGTGCTAGCTCATAAAGCCTTGTTTGCCGCTCGTACTGCTCCCTTCTCGCTTTCTGATCTTCTTGTTTCATTGCCATATTAATGTTTCCTTTTTCCCCAAAAAACTCTATTGTATCATTTCCACCCTTTCTTGATCTCTTCCTCTTTGGCTCTGACGAACCCTCACCTTCTTTCCGTTTCATCGTTTCACTCAGCTTTTCGCACGCGTTCTTTCGGACCTCCTCTCCCATCGCCCTGTCTTCGTCTGTCTTTTTCTTGTTACTCAGCAATAAGATATCTTCTTCTTCAGCTGCTTCACACTTCTCGTTGATCTCCTCGAGCGCTCGGTCCAGCTCTGTTTCCTCTACTTCCACTCCGCTATCTCTCCGTTCCTTCTGCATTCTTGCACGATACTTGTCCAGTACAAGTTTAGGACGCTCCCTTACCGATTTCTTTGTGACAAGAAACCTCATTGTAGCGTGCGGATTGAGGTTGTCGGCTATTGTTTCCCACACTCTTCCTCTGTCAACTGCCCTCGCCTTGTAACGATACGGTTACAATAACAAAAACCTCCCGAGCAAGAGCAATGTCGTGGTTGTTTGTCCATTCCATTGCCATACTAAAGGAAAATAAAGTAGAATTTCAATCAAACCGTCCGTTGGAGGAATTTTCACTAAAACAATCGTAAAACACGAGTCGATGAAAGATGATGATTTCTATTAAAAATCCACACATTTTTTTTACAAGTAATGCAAAATCATTTTCTAGAGCGGTCCTAACCTACCACAGATTAGTTTAACACGATATAAATCAAGGTGAAATAAGAAATCAAGCAATACTCTGTGTGAGTAAATTTCCCCCAATTTACCTGCTTTTTGGATTCCTTATTGAAGACTTGACGCTCACATTTCCTTCTATAAGCTCGCTAAAATTGAATTATGAAAACAAAATTGAACCAAGCAGTTTATGAATCTATTTCTTTATAATAATGTTTACAAATTTTGTGCAAAACATGTTATTTTAAGGGAAAAAGTCGGAAAATAACTAACCTTTCTGGCAGGCCGCCAAACTCAACTTCATCGCCACCACAACTGAGTTGGAGGCCGTCAAGTGGCGTGACATTTATGCAAATTAAATTGAAGACCTTGGGAATTTACTTCCGGTTGCCGTTGTCCTAAGCCGCGTCCAGGGTATCTAAAGGTCCCTAATAACACACAAAAGACCTTTCGAAGAGTTTAGATGACCTTTTATTGTCTCCAAG